ATTAATATATTATATATTAATATATTAATATATTAAAATATATTAATATATTAAATGTATTAAAATTTCGCTCTTGTTGTTGATTAATGTTTATTTATACACTATTTTTCACTATTACTTTTATTTAGATAACCGAATAGAACTACCGCGGCGACGTATGAAGTTCTTTCATTTGTGGCTGAGGAAATTATGGATACTATCCGCTGTTGATAGAGTATTTTATGGACTAGTGCTATATACGTTATATTTTGCCGTCGGTAAGTGAGTAAATACATCGGGAAAATGTATAAAATTAGCATCAGTATACTGAATTGATTATGAATTTAACAAAATATTGGAATATTATATTATTCCAAAAATATTAGGCATAACTAATGATGTTTGATCATTCTATCGTTACTTATATTGTACATTTAATCTTTATATTGTACATTTAATTGATTAATCTTATATCGTAGTCTTATAAAATTAATTTAATGAACTATAAATTCAAGGTCCATGGACCATGGGAGAAATAATTGAAGATCACACAGGTGTAATTTTTGTGTGGGGAACATTCATCGGAAACATGTATTTACCAGGCGGCTTAACTTATGCTTATGGATTCCTTCAGTTACTGTGTTTCCATTTGCCTCTTACAATAATTTTAGCGCATCACATTGATCGTAGGTCCGTGATATTGCAATAATAACATTGGTTGCATTCAGCAAATTCAATTGTGTAACCGTTTTATGATTGTTGAGATAGGATCATTCTTCTAGATCTAAATAATTCAATCAGCATGAAGAAAACTTTCAATAGTTCCAAAATAAATATTCTGCTAAATGCAGCCATTGTTATGATGATGAAAAAATTTTCTGAAGCTAAATTATCCATGTTTCAGATTACGAGATGCTGAATGTCCTTCGCGAGTCTTGTCAAAATTCCATACAATTTGGCGATTTTTACCAATTTTAATAATAATCTTATTACAATTTGTTCTGGGCTATTTCTTATATCTAGAATATGGTACAACAGCAATATTACTATGTCCATTACGAACGGGAAGTATTATTGTAGCAGCAGCACTATCTTATTCTATTGCCACAATGCCGGTTTCATGCTTAAAGTTTGTATTAATATTTACATTACGATATGTTGTCTGTATGCAGAGCTGGACATGTATTTGAAATACATTTTATTAAAAACACAGTATTTGCAATACAATGTATTTTGTATTTTATATTTAAAATCGGAAGATTAAAAATTTTTGTATTTTGTAATTCAAATAATAATTGATTGTCAGTATTTGAAATACAAAATATAAAATTTAAATTTTATTTTCCCATGAAATATAAAATATTTTCATGTATTTCATTGAAATTCAAAATTGTCTTATAAATACTGTTTTGTAAATAAAAATATTTTAAATACATGTTCATCCTGTCTACATGATATGGATATGTAATTGTGTATTTTTTAAGGTCTGCTGCATCTGTATGGTGTACTAATGGAGTTATTGATAATAATAATGCAATTCAATAAGAATGATAGCAAAATAACACAATAGAAATGTTGGTAAGCTAATATTTCATTAAAACATTGAAGTTAATTATTAACAGATTTATAAAGAGAAGTTTTAAATGTATTCTA